TAGCAAGGACACTATTAGGTGGAGGCCGTCACAAGTAGGTTGGAGGCACCGATTTGTTGACAGATTTGCCAAGCATCAGTCGAGGTGAGTGTCCTGGACTTGCGCTCGCGGAAAGTCTTCTTAGCTGCTGTGGTGATGATCTTGCTCGTGTCATCCAAAGTGAGAACTTCCTGAGCATGGCAGAACCAGGAGAAGATACAGAAACAAAAGAAAACAACAAGAAAAGCAGCCACTAAAGGACACTACACAGTGACAGAGACCGAACATGACCCAATTGTTTTCATCGCTGTTTGAGGTTAGTCTCCGCACCCTCAGCAGTTTTCCACTGACGTCCATCCTCGCCATCTTTGGGCTCAAAGTTCGGAGTGTCTGGTCTTGCTGGAGGTAGAATTTCTTCCAGGCTGGTCAGCAAACCACTCTCCAATTCGAAGATGTACCTTTGCTGATACATGCCGAGGAAATCAACATGAGTTCAAAAGATTCAAGCCAATTTCGACTGCAAATCGAGTGGGGTTGTCCTGATTTAAGCTGAAGGATGTGCAGATTTCGAAGGGTGTGCAGATTTAAGCTTGACATGGCAATGCGCTTCCCCATTTCAGACAAACATGGCTTGCAATCATACAAATCCATACAAATCCTACTTTCAAGCAAAGCACTGCGCGTCTATTCGCGGGTCCTGCCAAGAAGAAATACCGTCCTCAGAGTTGACGAAATACCTTAAGGAGGTGCAAGCGATCAAAGATGGACGGTCAATGCACGGTTTTAAGATGTTTTAAGATGTTTTACGGTGGTTCTCTTGCGTCCACTCTTGCTATCGCACAAAGGCACTGGCGCCCAGAATCATCCATAAAGGGGCCATGCCACTTGTCCAGTTCTTGCTTATGCTGGTGCCACAAAATACCCTTCTGCTCCTCAAAATAACCGGCCGAATAGCATTTCAGGTAGTTTCGGCCTTGCAAGGTGGTGCACTTGCTTTTACGCCAAGGTGGTCGACTCAGCGAAATCACTCCATGTCCGCCTATCTCCACGATTCGCCGTAGGCAAGGCACCAAGGGATTCTCCCAACTGCTGACTTGCCTCCAAAGGGATTTCAAGATAAGGAGCCTATAGTCCTATAGTAAACCATAGTAAACCGTTGGGGCCACCCAAAGTGCTCGAGATGTCCGTCTCCCAAGCAATCTAAAATACTACCTCTTGCGTGTTGGATAGATACTCAGAACTTGCGTAGAATCCCATGCGCATCCACAGAACAAGTTTATTCGCCGTCTCTATTTAGATTATATAGATACGAAGTGCATCGAATTGTATTATTGCAGCAACATGATCTACTGCGTAGCCAAACAAAGGCTGGTTCCCCTGCACTTTGGTGCTCCAGCTGCTGGGTCTCAGCCTGTCGTGATCCACATAGTATACGAAGCCTTGTGTGAAAGTCACGATTTCGTGTCACAGAAGGTCAGTCCACTGCGAAAGTGTCACGAAAGGTCTGTGCATACTAGTAACAAGTGCCACGCTACTAGTAACAAGTGCCTTACTAGTAGTAACAGGTGCCTTACTAGTAGTAGCAGGTGCCTTACTAGTAGTAACAAGAAGCTATTAGAAACAAGTGTGTGCATTCTGAGCAACCCGATGAACTGTCGGAATGTGCCGTCCAGCGTGGAGGAAGTGGGCTTTGGATACCAACTTCTGCAATCCATCCAAACTCGTCCTCCTCACAATTGAACAACAAACAAATTGGAGCGCAGGCAATGCAAATGAAGCCGAAGCACAAACAGCTACCGGTCAACCAACAAAGATTCAGGATGATTCGGGTGTTTTGTTCACTACCCAGCATTCTAGGTGAAGCTACATCATCCTTCTGACGGTTTGAATCTTATTCAACAAATTAGAATGGTCTGAGTCTTGATTTCAATTTGCTGCCTTGCCGACGCTTGGTGTGATGACTTCCCATCGAACACCTCCACTCTCCATGGCTCCTCTTTGATGTGGATACCGAGCTGCTGCTTGAAGGCTGCGATTGCGTGACTCTCGTCCTTGGCAGGGACACTTCCACAAAGCATCGCAAGCTTGTAAGAAGCAAGAAAGAAGTGTGCATGCTGAGACTGTCAAAACATCAAAATCCGCGAAACTGGAATGTGTTCCACCTCTCTTGCAAGCTCACTAAGGGTGGTGCAAGCAGAGGGTTGGCCATCTGGCCATTTGAAAAAGCAAAGACATCGCTTGAGCCACTGTTGCTGGCCACGTTATATAACTCCAAGAACTTCCACCACTCAATGGGTTTGAGTGCAGCTGCTTTTAATAGCGATGGCCTCCAACCAAAGAGCGACGGCCTCCAACCTATTAAGCTCTTTTTGCATTTGATTCCAAGAAGTGTCCTTTCCACTTGTCCACTTCATGTCACCGAAAGGTCCCTTGAGGTCCTGCGATGGTGAAGAAAGTTGTGGCCTGGCGGGCCTCGGTATGCAAATCACCAGGAATTAGATGCGTGGCAACACGGACTGAGGATGACTGAGGCGTCTTGCGATGGAAGGACGGCACACATGTCACACGGTGCTTGTCGATCTGTTTGTACAAGAGCAAACAGAAAGTAATATTCTAGGCAAATTCCACATTATAGACGATGTAATACTACGGGCGGGCCGTCCATAGAGGACGGTACCCCATTCATTTTGCAAAAATGTCCTTTCAAGACCTGTCTTGGCCATCTCGGCCTTTTGAGGCCTTTTGTATGGAAAGCTGCTTCTACCAGCCTACAGCATATAGGCACAAAGCTTTGGAAATCAATGAGATGGTTAGATATGGTCGCTCATTGAAATGGTTACTGCTGAGTCTGCGTCACATGACAGCTCTGCTTTGGACTGTCAAGAAGCAAAAGCTTGAGGGCGGCGAGGAAAAAGCTCTGGGTTGCAGGAGGTTGCATAGCTTTCGCGTGGAAACACAAGGATTACAGATTACAGTTGTAGGCTAAATGAATTAAATAAGTTAAGTTCCCTGGCGGCCGGGATCATATTCCTGGTCTCATGATGCCTCATGTGAATGGATGAACTAGGTACTTGTCATGAAGACCCTTTTCTAACGCAAAACAAAGCGAAACGCCCGTTCCGCTGCCTGCAGCGCTTGAAACAATGATTTGAAGTACACCTCGAACAACGGTAGCGAGGTGGCACAGCTCCTAATTCTTCGTTCTCTCAAGCATCCTGAAGATCCTCGAGTTGGTCTTCAGAGTTGCGCCACCTCGCTTGAGCCGTCATTCATTTTTCTTGGTGCTGTCAGTGCTGTCACACTCCTTGCTGCCAAAGTTGGGAAGTGTGACTCCGCCATGCCCGAAGGTCATTTCAAACTCCTTCGGAGCAGGGCAATGTCTCGACTGTCTCTCATTGTGCTTTATGGTCCGATCTATTCGGCGAAAGGGTTGCTGTGCATAAGAAGTTTAGATACAATGTTTATCAATGTTGAGTTTTGAAACTAGGAACAAGGGCATCGCTACTAGGAGCAAGGACGCTACTAGGGGCTCCTGGCCTTACTACTAGTAGCAAGGACGCTACTAGGAACAAGGGCATTACGACTAGGAGCAAATAGCTACTAGGAGCAAAGGGCATCGCTACTAGGAACAAGAAGCTACTAGGGGCTCCTGGCATCGCTACTAGGAGCAAGAAGCTATTAGCAGCAAATAGCTACCACGTCCATCTCCTCTTCACATTTCTCCACTGTCTCTTTCTCTGGCTCAGGCTTCTCGACCCTCTCAACTGGCTCTTGCACGTTTTGCGACCTGCATAGTCGGTGTTCTGCGTTTCGAGTGTATCCTCAATGGGATTCTCATTGAGTTTTCAAATCACGAGAACATCGAGCAGCAAGATGCAGCAAGCACATAAACCGCCCTCGCACTTGCACTTCAGACAGTGACTTTTCTCACCGCCATTTCACGCCCTTTAATCTTGGCACCGAGTGCATGACCTGCAATCACAAACTCAAAAACCCTGTGTCAGCTACTAGGGGCTCCTGGCATCGCTACTAGGAGCAAGGACGCTACTAATTAGCTCAACTCGCTCGAGTCAGCAATTCAGAATTCATCGACATTTGTCGCAAATCCGCAGCACTGCACATCCTGCCTCAGAGAGGATGACGTCGGCATCACATGATGGAGCCTTGACTTTGAGCTCCTGGGCAAGTGCACAAGGCAATGATTCTCTCACAAAATGCATGTCTCAAGAAAAGACCACAGAATTCGGGGCCAGCTTTGTGAGCGCTCCTCTACAGGTCGCCCTGCATTCTCGTAGGCATCCACTAGCTTCTCCACTGCCCACCTGCACCCATGCAAAGCAAGCTGTCAAACCTGAGAACCTGACTTGCCACAATGTTTTTGGCGGCATTTGAGCACTGCCTCTGTTGTGATCGAGGTGACATACGCTCAAACGACTCCTTCTCGGAATCATCCGCCAGTGAAAGGCCCTTGCAATGCCAAGAATTCTGTAGTACATTGAGAGCTGTCAAAATCTTCATGAATCAACGAAAGTCGTCATGAACTTGAAAGAAGTATACACAGCGAAGCATTGAGGCTAAGTTTCCCTAAAAATCTAGGAACCCCCCCCCCAAAAAAAAAACTCATGATAATACAATTCTATGCTGGAATGTGGATACCAATAAGTGCTCCAGCCTTTCGCCGGGCTGTAAAGCGCCAATTCATGACAGAGAGCTGGCCACCCAACCACAGCGTCCACTCGTAGAAAAGCAAAGGCTCCTTCAAACAGTGTTTGTAAAAAAACGAGGTGTTGTCTCAAGGTAAAACCCAAGCTGAATAAGACCTCTGACTAGACCTCTATTAACTCCAGCAAACCTCGAAACGATATGGAGTAAGGAGGGAGTACCTGGGCGCCGATTGAGTGATGTTGTCATGAAACGATGTGTTCTCTACATGGGTAAGGCTATAATGCCAGACTGCTGTGGAATGCCCTTTGCTACCAACATCTACATTGAATACCCAGCTTTGGCCGTATAATATCTCATTACAAAAAGATACATCGTACAGAGGCGACGTTGTACTGACTGAGTGTTCCTCTAGGTTTAAAAAAAATAGAAAATCAGAGCCCATCCCAAAGGGGTGGGGATACGGAAAACACGTTGTGTATATTGTATATATATTGTGTATATATCCGCCGACCCCGGCCTATAGCCAAAGCCTAGGCGGGGAGGCGCCTGGGACACCGCAGGGTGAAGCAGTTGGCCAAGCCGAGCAGAACCCTTCCAAGCACTTCCAAAGGCGCAGGATGAAGCAGTTGGCCAAGCCTAGCAGAACCCTTCCAAGCACTTCCAAAGGCCTGTCCGAGGCCTCGCCAGCTGGCAGGCCTGTTGCGGCCTCTCTGTGGCCTGTCCGAAGCCTGAAGGCGACGTTAGGCATTTTGGACCGCCCCCAAACCGCTCTCGGCAGCTGGCAGGCCTCTTGCGGGCTCTCTGTGGCCTGTCCGAAGCCTGCCTCCTCT